CAGCAAGATCTTGACAAGATCTTACCCAAGATCTTACCAAGATCATGCCAAGATCTTACATAAATCCTGCAAGATCATGGAAAGATCTTGCATGATCTTACAAGATCTTTCCAAGTTCTTGCAGGATCTTACCTAAGATCTTGCAGGATCTTGCAAGATCTTGCCAAACATCTTGCAAGATCTTGCCATGATCATGACAAGATCTTGCCATGATAATGGCAAGATCTTGCAAGATCCTGCAAGATCTTAGGTAAGATCCTGCAAGAACTTGGAAAGATCTTGTAAGATCATGCAAGATCTTTCCATGATCTTGCAGGATTTATGTAACATCTTGGCATGATCTTGGTACAAATCCTGCAAGATCTTGCCATGATTCTCCAAGATCTTACCACAAATCCTGCAAGATCTTGCCATGATCCTCCAAGATCTTACCAAAATCCAGCAAGATCTTGCCATGGTCTTGCCAAAAATCCGGCGAGATCTTGCCATGATCCTCCAAGATCTTACCGAAATCCAGCAAGATCTTGCCATGATCCTCCAAGATCTTACCAAAAATCCTGCGAGATCTTGCCATGATCCTTCAATATCTTACCAGAATCCAGTCAGATCTTGCCATGACCCTACAAGATTTTACCAAGTTCGTGGCAAGAATACATGGCAAATACAGAATGAAGAGGCTCTACATAAAATATACTATACTCTGGATATAACTTTGATTGAATTTATCAAACTAACGTAAAAGTGTACAATATTGCCATAAATTCAGTGTCGGTCTTTATTAAATTGTAATAAATTAGTTCATCCAAATTATAATACTCAAGCTTTTACCCGGTTTAGTTTGCATAGTAAATGTAGTAAATTAGACCAATAATGTTGGTAAAATATTATCAATATCTATGGCGATTGAAATAAAGTCCGAATGAAAGTTCCACCTTGCTCAATATTTGAGAGAAAACAAAAGGAATCTTGTCTGTTCTTAATAATGTTGTTCTAAAGAATTGAGTTTCAAGATGGAACTTTTATTCGGAGGTTGTTTCATACTTTACTTCATGAATTATATTAGCATTGACACCATTGTTATTGCAAGTTCTTCGATTTTGTTTTTCTTCGCATATCGCGGCACTTTTGAATTTTGATTGCACGCATCCACGATAATTTGGCGTGTTTACTGTTCTCTGTACTTTTTCTTCGCCATACTTGGCGTTGAGGACAGCTATATCGTAAAAAAAGACTGTGTTAAAGTAAGTCTATTTTTTGTATTTAAGTTCATTTCAATGTTTACCCAAAACACATTGCCATTGGCAAAGAAAACTATAGTACTTTTAATTAACACATACTGTAGCAACTTAGTCTTAAGTTTGTATATATCTGTTCACAACTGGCCAGTTAATTTTTCTTCAAGTCAAATCACATATATTATTCTTACCAAACAATTTAGTGACCCTGTTGGGATCTAGTGCTGGTTTTGGAGATCTTTTCGACTGGAATAGTATTCCATCCTGGAGCTCTTCCGATGAAAATAGGAAGTCCAATAATTTGATTGCACATTTTGATGGCTCTTTTGGTGGTGCATTTACGGTCATCAAATTAATGTCATTGTGGCACTAAAATGAATTAACAATACTTGATATTAAATCACTGTAGTTGAATTCTTTTTAAGTAAAAACGATAAATTACACATGTATACACTCATACTTACAATCTCGATCTCTGTAGTTTCTTTTTTGGCCATAGCTTTATCATTTGGGGATGCCTTCACCATGTTTTCCTAAATAATATTTGAAATAACAAATTTTGAATAATACACATGTTGAATAATACACATGTTGAATAATCATAGCTCAAACCATTAATTTTATATGAAAGATCTCTATATTTTATCCTAGCTTCACTGGTTGGCATAATGAAACTTAACTCACTAATGAAGCTCACATTTATACCGTAGTGTGAAATTGCGTGTTCCTATGCGCTGCATTTACGATGTTTGGCAACCGATCTGTCAAAACTACGGTTATCAGGACATTTCAGTAGCGCAAGCTGCGCAAAAGCTGTGTAATAAATATAAGACTGTGTGAATATAATAATTTGTGGTCCCAGGGGTATTCTCAACGGCTTTGTCATTCTTAACAAAACGTTAAACTAGGCATTATCACGTAAAAGCTTATTGCGACCAATGATGAGATGTTATTAAAATTACTTAAAGTCGAAATTACAGCAAGCATTGCATCGCTTTACCCAATTAACTTAGCCTTTTGTAAGGTTATTTGAAAAAGCTTGAAACATTTATTACATGTGGTAATCAAATTAGCGCTCATTCATTCAATATACAAATAATGTGTTACAAAATAGGTTGTAAGCACTTACTTTTTATTTAAGACAGCTCGACAAGTTATCCTTTCTTCTTTAGTGCAGCAACAAAGTCGAGGAACAGAAGTATAAACTGCCGTGTACCTTGTATGTTTACTTATAAAACGCGCCTTGGGGCTTTTACCAACAGTTGTCTACCACAAATATGCGAAAAATGCGCAGATAACAAGATTTACAGATATTGATTAATTGATCTCATTTCAGTCATTTGGATCTGGCACGCAAAGGTGCGAGAGCAACTGTGCGCGTAAAAGCCTCCTTTCACAAGGATCTTTCAAAATCATGGCATTTTTGGTATGATCATGGTAAAATCATGACAAGAGATTGTGTCAAGAACTTCCAAGATCAAGATAGATAAGATCTTGGCAAGATCATGCTGGGATCATGGTGAGATCTTGACAAGATCTTCCAAGACCATGGCAATATTATAATAGAATCTTGGCAAGATTGTGATAAGATCTTAGCAAGGATCATGATGGGATCTTGAAAAGATCCTCCAAGATCATGGCAAGATTACAATAGGATCTTGGCAAGATTTTGGTAAGATTTTGGCAAGATATTGGCAAGATCATGGTGAGATCTTGTCAAGATTTTCAAGACCATGGCAACATTATGGTAGGATCTTGGCAAGATTTTTGATAAGATCATGGTGGAATCTTGGCACGATCATGGTGGAATCTTGGCAAGATTGTCCAAGATCATGGCAAGATTATGATAGAATCTTGGCAAGATTGCGATAAGATCTTAGAAAGGATCATGGTAGGATCTTGGTAAGATCATGGTGGAGTCTTGCCAAGATCCTCCAAGATCATGGCAAGATTACAATAGGATCTTGACAAGATTTTGATATGTTCTTGGTAAGATCATGGTGGAATCTTGCCAAGATTGTGCAAGATCATGGCAAGATTATGATAGAATCTTGGCAAGATTGTGATAAGATCTTAGCAAGGACCATGGTGGGTTCTTGGCAAGATCATCGTGGGATCTTGACAAGATCTTCCAAGATCATGATAGGATATTGACAAGATTTTGACAAGATCTTGGCAAGATCATGGTGGAATCTTGGCAAAGTTGTCCAAGATCATGGCAAGATTATGATAGAATCTTGGCAAGATTGTGATAAGATGACTTAGCAAGAATCATGGTGGGATCATGGCAAGATCATGGTGGGATCTTGACAAGATCTTCCAAGATCATGGCACGATTACAATAGGATCTTGGCAAGATTTTGATATGATCTTGGTAAGATCATGGTGGAATCTTGCCAAGATTGTCCAAGATCATGGCAAGATTATGATAGAATCTTGGCAAGATTGTGATAAGATCTTGGCAAGGACCATGGTGGGATCTTGGCAAGATCATGGTGGGATCTTGACAAGATCTTCCAAGATCATGGCAAGATCATGATAGAGTATTGGCAATGTTGTGATATATGCGATTGGTTTGATCAAGGTTCATTATACCTATACTTATGAAGGTCGAAAAATACAACTCAGCAAGAATTATGTATGACGAAAAATCATGAAAGATCTTGGCAAGATCTTGACAAGAATTTCAGACAATCTTGGCAAGATTTTGGCAAGTATGGCAAGATTGAATAATCTTGGCAAGATATTGGTAATATCTTGGCAAGATCTTGCCAAGATTAGTGTCTTGCCAAGACCTTGCCATGACCTTCCAAGATCATGCAAGATCTTACAAGATCTTGCCAAGATCTTCAACCTGGGATGATATAGGCTTAACTTCTCTCCATCCGGAAAAGGAAGAAGCGAAACATGTCAATAAAAATGAGCTGATTTATACCTTTTTGTTATTAATGCTAATTCACAAAAAGAAGGAAGACATAGCCACATCCTTTCTATAGGTGAAGCCGGACAAACAGTGGTGTAATGAAGAAAGACAGGGCCCTTATTATATAGTGTATTATTTAATACATGTGTGTTAAGCTAGATGAAACCAAATTACACTGTCTAATACCAAATAGAGTATATACAATAGTTAACAAATATACAACTATAACTAAACAACATTTGGCAAGGCTAGATACCTATTGACACCTAGGACAGTACATAGTCATGAGATCACAAAACATACAGCTTTACTGAGGTCACAGTAAATATGTGTGTTAAGCATTAAAAGGGTCCTGAAGGGGGGGAGGGGTCCCAATCCCATTTCCCACCTGAAATTTTGGCAAAATCCCAGTCCCAGTTGGATTTTTATTAGAAATCCCAGTCCGAGTTATTGAAATCCCAGTCAATAAAAAACCCTTTATTTATCGGTAGAATAAACAGTTTTAAGACCTTTTAATTAAGCCACCATGCGTGCAAGTGGCGGACACTTTATGAAATATTGGGGGGGGGGGCTCATGCCGAAGGCACGGAAAATTTTTAAAATTTGAATCCCGGAAATGGCATTTGCAGTATTCTGAGACCAGCCTGATCGAGACACACATAATCAGAAAACCCAGAATTCCGGGCTTCAGGGTATGCCTGTTCGCAGGTAGTGCTGTGAATAATATAGTTAACAACAAAAATCATGACCAAAGACACCAAAAACGGATCAAAATTGGGAATCGACTCGCATTACTTCAATCCCATTCCCAGTTTTGAGGACTTCATTTCCCATTCCCAGTGGCCAAATCCCAGTCCCAACAACCCAAATCCCATTTTCCCAGTCTAAAAATAGGTCAATCCCAGTTCCCATTTTACCCCTTCAGGGCCCTCCATTAAGTAAGGAAAGAAAGAGGGGTTTGGATCCTTCCAACTGAGAGGATGCTCGCATATGCATTGTTCAGAATTTCCCCCTGACAGTATATAGACCATGCAGCAACACTGTGATATATATTCAACTATATGTGCCCTCAACATACACCCCCAACCTTATTGAGTGAAAATTATTGATGACTAAATAGGCTGAAAAGTTTGGTAATTCATTTGTTCTTGAAAGCAAACTGAGTGAAGATGTGAAAAAAGGCATCAGTCAAGAGGTGAGTGATCACATGATTTCGTTGATTCTATAGATTTCAAGCATTGACACATCTCATATGATATAACACTTATTATTTTAATATTATATGAAACATATAGGTTGCAGGTGCCCCATGGTGGCTGCCAGTCGATGGAGCAACTTGGAAACACCCAGAAGGCCCAGGATCAAATATAAGAACAAGGTAGGCCTACCATAAATTGTGAGAATTCCAATAAATTTAGTGATGCATGCATGCATGGTTTCAATTTTAATCTTTTGCCAGGGGATTATGCTTTCATGTATGCATCCATATATTTGTTTGTGTATTTGTTTATCTGTGTTGTTTGTTTACTTATTTGTTTGTATGTCAGTTGTTGCGTATGTCAGTTGTTGCGTATGGCAGTGGGCCCAAAGGCTGGGGACAGATCAAATTGAGATGAATAAATTGCGTAATTTTCGGAGAAAAAAACTGGATGAAACAATTTGATTTTAAAATTTTGTTTAGACAACTAGACTAAGTACGTTTCGTTGCAGCATCCGGCCTCAAAGCAACATGAACGTACATTACTGTATGTCTATACTATAGTATATCCCGGATTCCCGAAATGTTGGTTGCTACGTGCATGCAAGATTCCCCTACGTTTAGGTTTTGATGCATATGTATTACCCCATACCGTTAAAGCATATCTTACATATGGATAAATCAATGTATAGTATAATTGTTGAAGTATTTCTGTGCCAACAAAGTAGCGAATGTTTGAGATAATACCAATACAGCGGTTTAATTTTTTTTGCCAAATGTGAAATATGATATTTCCAGCTTAAGTTTGAATCGAGTAGAATTCCTAAATACTTATATACTTCTCTTGTTTAATTCGGTTATTTCTGATCAATAATGAAATCTCATAGTTGGGTATCCGCTGGGTTGGATGAAAAAGCACAAAATTTGTTTTATCAATATTTAGGGATAATTTATTAGCTGCCAGTCAATCAATGACTTTTTTCAGATTTTCATTTATTATTGATTCCAGGTTAACAAGGCTTGCATTAGCATAGAAAAGAATAGTATCATCTGCAAATATATTAAATTCAAAAGCCTTGCTACAATTATGAAAATCGTTAATATAGGCTACAATAAAAAAAGCAGTGGACCAAGAACAGATCCTTGAGGAACCCCGCATGTAATTTCAGATTCATCAGATTGAATATTGCCTATTGAAACAAATTGACATAGCGCATATAATTTTTCAAGAAGGATTGCATGATTTACGGTATCAAATGCTTTAGAAAAATCCAAAAATATTCCGCAGGCATACCATCTTTTTTCAATTGCCTGTTGAATACTATCAGTTATAGAAAGAGCTAATTGTACTGTTGAACGCTTAGAACGAAACCCAAATTGCTTATTATATAGCAATTTGTTCGAATCAATAAAACTTACATTAGCTACTTCGGAATTACATTAGCTATTTTAAACTGATCAGGAACAAGACCAGTTGAGAAAGAAATATTGTATATTATTTGAAGAGGAGTCGATAAGCTTGACCTGACCTGGCTATTTTTAGCAAATCAATTGGAATACTAAAAGGACCTGTTGCTTTAGACGACTTGAGTTTGCTAATTTCCATCTCAATTTCATGTTTTGTGGTGGCATACATAAAAAAGCTATTTATCACAGACTCCCCCATAGTACTGGATGGTGTTGTATTAGTAATAGGTATAGTATCAGCTAAATTCTTACCAACATTTGAGAAATGATCATTAAAAGCCTGACATATATCTCTAGTATTTGTTATCAGTAGTGAAAGACCCCACTCTGGCGGAATTTATAATCAGCTTGCAAAATCTATGACGTCACTTTGTTCAGCTAACAATCTGGCGGAATTTAAAATGAGCTTGCAAAATCTATGACGTCACTTTGCTGGGCAAGCCTAGGCCAAATGTGACAGGTAGCGCGACCAATTAGCGCGGGCAAACCTGGGCCAAATATGACAGATAACGCGATCAATTAGCATCACAATACAGTAACGCGATCAATTAGCGGCGCAACACAGTAACGCGATCAATTAGCGGCACAACACAGTAACGCGACCAAACAAAGTAAAGGTATCAGAGATTATAAATATCGTGTTTCGAACACACAATTCATTTCTCACTGTTGCATTTTGGCAAGTGTTCTCTGGTTTTCTCTAGTTTTCAAGTGTTGTCTGGTTCTCAAGTGTTCTCTGCTTTAGATTGCGTTGGATTGTTTTTAAAATGGCTAATTCGGTAAGTAAACGTAACGTTTTCAATATAAGCTTATGATATTTTCAGATTTATGGGCTGCATTTCTGACTAATTTATTTTCTAGATTAATATGTTGGATCTGATCAAGGCTTGTGAGACCGAAAGTGTGCACTTTCTCCAGGAGTCTTTTATGCTCACTGATGAGCAAAAGGAAGCTGTTCTTCAACAGCGCATTATTTTCTGGACGAACACGATGGCCGAAGATATTGCACGGGAGAATCCAGTTGGAGTTGTTGATGGCTTCATGGATAATTGGACGTATGATCAACGGCGCCAGTTTAACGAAGACTGGGAAAACGACGAAGGTTTGTGCGAGCCCGAACAGTCAGAAAACCAAATGGGTGAAGGGAACAAGCGAAAGCACGCCAGTGATGACATCCCCTTAAAACGCCAAAGACCAGAGGAGTATTTCACTATTAAATCGGTGAAACAAGTCAACGTGAGGAAATTCAGGGCGACAGGTACACATTAAACTGTTTTTATATTTTTAGGCGTGTATTTTTAAGCGTAACATCAGGTACGTGTGGGATATAGATTGTTTTATTATAGGAAACGTGTTTATTGCTTGTGTGTACATCTGGTCGCACAAAGAATTGCTATCCAACGCATTATTCGCAAGCTTTTTATAAATGGCCATAACTCTCAAATGAAGCTTTAGTATTTACAAGGCTTATGATTGGAATTGTAGCTAAATTTTTCAAGTATAGCACTATCTAGCCTGAGTGTCAGTTATTCGTCTGACACTCAGGCACTATCCGGAAAATACCGATGTTCGTACAACCGGCCCCCGGCTTTTTTAGGTATCCTTTTCTGGCAAATTGTTCTATATTGCCGGGTAATAATGTTACAGTAATCTATACACTGATTATGCTCAATTATTGATAGCTATTTAAAGCCATTTTCATGAAATTTCGAGTCTTTCTGATTGCTATTACTTGGTTAGTACAATAATGTATTACGGTTTTTAGGTACAGACTACACTGTCCAATTCAACCGGTTGGACGTGCACGGGGTGTCAAACGTCATGTCGACGTTGAACCGCGCATTTCAATACTTATTGACCGACTCACGACTGATATGACTCCTCACGATCAAGTTCACTTGATCCTAAACTCGCATCAGCTGGACAAGTCCATTTCCTTGCCTTTCCTTTCCTACAACGCGATCGTCTAACCCAAGAACGTTTCCTGGCTGCTGTTGAACGTGTCGTGCAATCCAATGATCAATTTACTTTGGACGATTCTGTCAGCGTCAACGTGGTCCATGTCGAAATGCCTAACGGTGCAGGTAGAAAACGACGTGATGTTGTAAACCTCGAAAGTTTTCTCAGAAAAAAGGACTGTATCGTTCAAATCAAAAACAAAGATGATCTCTGTTGTGCCCGCGCGATCATAGTGGCCAAAGCAAAGCTGGACAAAGATCCAAAGTATAAGAGTATTGTTGATCACCGTGGAAAAGTACAAGGTCGTTTAGCTCGAGAACTCCATGAATCAGCGGGTGTTCCTCTTGGTTCCTGTGGTATCGCAGAAGTAAAAAAGTTCCAGGCAGCTCTTCCTGGTTATCACCTGAACGTGATCTCCAGGGAACATTTAAACGCTATGATTTATTCCGGTCCTGAAGCAGACAAGTGTTTATACCTGTACCACCACGACAACCATTACGATGTCATCACCAGCATGCCTGCCTTTCTCGCCCGTAAGCAGTATTGTCATAAGTGCAAGAAAGGCTTCGACAAAATCACCAGTCACCCGTGTGGCGATCTGTGCAAGCTGTGTCATACCCAGAACTGTTCCCTTGTTGAATGGAAATTTTTCAAAGACTGTAACCGTTTCTTTAAGAGTGACGAATGCTTCAACCGCCATAAAGATGACTCCGGTCCTGCCAAATCCCTGTGTCGTGCTTTGGTGAAATGCAAGAAATGCAAGCGTGTTGTTACTCGTGCCAGTCTTCGTGATCATCATTGTGGCAAAGTCAGATGTTCCACCTGTCAAAAATACGTCAAGCCTGAAAACCACCAATGTTATCTTCAACCTGTAAAGGCGAAGAAGGCACGATCAGCTGAAGGAGGAAACGAATTCCTAGATGATGATGTGGCTGTGGATAATGACGTGGACTGGAAGACACCAAAAACCTGATGTTCTTCGACTTTGAATGTACGCAGGATGATGGTAAACACGTCCCCAATCTGTGCGTAGTCCAGAACGAAAGCGTTGACGAGAAAGTCTTTTCTGGCCCAAACACTAAAGACGAGTTCTGCACGTGGGTATTTCAACAGGAAAACGCCAGCACGACGTTTGTCGCGCATAACTTCCAGGCCTACGACGGATACTTCATCCTTCAATACCTCTACAAGAATGGTATCACACCTGAGAATATTACTCTTGGCGCAAAAATCCTTTCTCTCACCGTGTCAGAGATGAACATTAAATTCATCGATTCCCTTTGCTTCATCCCAATGAAACTCGCCGCCTTCCCGAAAACGTTTGGTCTTAGAGAGCTTCAGAAAGGTTACTTCCCTCATTTCTTTAACCGTGCTGAGAATCAAGACTACGTGGAGCCAATGCCTAAAGCCAAGTTATACGATCCTGATGGCATGAGCACCGATGACCGCGAAAAGTTTTATACATGTTACAACGAGCAAGTCGAGCGCCAGTACCAGTTCGACTTTCAAGCCGAAATTCTGCGATACTGTCAGTCTGATGTGGACATTTTGCGTCGTTGTTGTCTCGAGTTCCGCGAACTTTTCAGCCAAATCACAGATGTTGACCCTTTCGCCTCTTGTCTCACCATTGCCTCTTCTTGTAATCTCGTTTTCCGTAAAACGTTCCTCCAGGAGAACACCATCGCCGTCATTCCTCCTTGCGGATACAAGCCTGAAAACAAACAGTCCGTCATTGCCTTGAAGATGCTGGCCTGGGTCGCTCAACGCGATAATATTGCCATTCGCCACGCCTGCAATCATGGAGAGCAGCGCATTGGCAAGTACCTTGTCGATGGCTTCAACGTTGAGACGAACACTGTTTGGGAAGTTCAAGGGTGCCTGTGGCATGGATGCGAAAGGTGTTACGCCAGAGATACCGTGAATCCGATCAACCTTATGACCATGCAAGATCTTAAGCAGCGAACCCTAGCGAAAATACAATTCCTAAAGGACAACAGATACAACGTCGTAGAGATTTGGACGTATGACATTGAGCGTCAACTTGCTACCGAACCCGAGATGAATGATTTCTTCGACAATTTTGAAATATCTGAGCCTCTGGAACCTCGCCATGCGTTCTTTGGTGGTCGTACAAACGCCGCACGCCTTTACTACGACATCCAGCCAGAAGAGAAGATCCGCTACGTGGATTTCTGCAGCCTCTATCCATGGTATGTATCTTGTTAAAAACTTTTAACTCAAACGTACTTGTCGTTAACCTTCTTAAGCAATTTTTAGGTGTAACAAATACGGCGAGTATCCAATTGGCCATCCCGAGATTATTACTGAGAACTTTCAATCTATCAGTGAGTACTTCGGTTTGGTGAAATGTTCTGTGCTTCCTCCTCGTGCCCTATACCACCCCGTCCTCCCTTACCGTACTCAGGGTAAATTGATGTTCCCGTTATGTCGTACCTGTGCCGATAACCTTCAGCAAGAGCCCTGCCATCACAGTGATGCCGAGCGAACACTTCATGGGACGTGGGTGACTTTGGAGCTCGAGAAAGCACTAGAGAAAGGCTACAAACTGGTGAGAGTCGACGAAGTTTGGCACTTTCCCGAGCACACGGATGGACTGTTTAAGGACTATATTGATACGTTCCTCAAAATCAAGCAAGAGGTATGGTTTCATAACATGTGTGACACTATCACACATCATTAGTTTATTATTATTTTCTCTTTTCCAGGCGAGTGGCTTTCCTCCGGAATGTGACACCGACAAGAAGAAGGGGCAGTACATCGCTGACTACGCCGCAAAAGAAGGTATTCAGTTGGACCCAAGACAGATTGTCAAGAATCCTCGTCTGAGGGCGTTGGCCAAGCTCATGTTGAATTCTTTTGGGGTAGGTGCAATGGCAAATTGTCCACTAACAGTACTTGTTTTTCCTAGGGAAATTCAGTAAACAAGTATATGTTAAAAACCTATAATTTCTTGTAGGAAAGTTTGCGCAACGGCCCAACATGACCAAGGTCAAAATCATATCAGATGATTTGACCTTTGACCTCCTATCCAGCGACCAGATTAACGTCACCGACGCGAACTTCATCAACGACGAGCTCATCGAAGTCCACTTTGAAAACGTCGACGAATTCGTGGAAGCCGATGGAAAGACAAATTTGGTCATCGCCGCGTTCACTACAGCCCAAGCTCTATGGTGTCCTGGAGCAATTAAATCGCCGAGTCTTGTATTTTGACACAGATTCAGTGATCTATGTTTCAAAAGAAGGCGAATGGGAGCCGCCGACGGGATCCTGTCTTGGTGAACTAACAGATGAATTGGATGGAGCTCACATTACCACCTTTGTGTCTGGAGGTCCTAAAAACTACGCCTATGAGACGAGCACAGACAAAACAGTGTGCAAAGAGGGATCACCTTAAACTACAGGACCCAGCAACATGTCAACTTTGACGTCATGTCTGACATGGTCAGGGGTGAAGGTCCCGAGAAAGTAACTGTAAACATACCTTACAAAATAAATAGAGACACTAAGGAGAAAAGTGCAAAGACGAGGAGCGAAAACAAGGACTATCGTATTTTATATAATAAACGTGTGATTGTAAATAATTTTGATACATTGCCTTATGGTTTTTAGTGTGAAGTTTCACTTCACACTATTGTGATGGCTGGCGAATTCACACGAATCAGTCAAACAGTCAGTCAGTCAGTCAGTCATAGAGTAAACTTTCCGGGGGGTGTATACGATTTATGTTCGTAGTGATTTATTGTACTTAGTCAGTACTTTGAAGGTTATTTAGGCAATTTCAGTTAACTTATTTACATATTCTGTTATCCTTTTGCCAAGTTCACAAAAATTTCGAGGAATCGCTTTCGTTATTGTAATTTTTGTAAATTTTAGAACATTCGCTTCTCATGTTGTGTAAAGAATCTTTACCCCGGAACACCCGATTTTTTCTTTAGTAGCGCAAATGCGCATGCGCTATCAAGCCGTAGATCACGATGGCGTGACGATATGCTAGGAAGGGGTGACAGTGTTGTTTTCAGATGTATAAAGATTTCAGACGTGAATATTGAGTAAATCTTTGAA